CTTATAAATTATATTAATAAACTCTCTGAGAGAGGCCTATATCCTATCTCTGAGATACTTCAGAATTTTGCGAAAGAGATCTCAAGAATAAAACCTGGAAAGCACTAGCCAAGCTGTTTTCTAAAGAAGTATTAGAATGAGCTGATCTCTCGCTATACTACTGGAATCGATTCTATACACAAGAGAGCTGATTCTGTATTTAAGTATACTCTATACTTTGAGTTACTCGCCAGAAAGATCAAGGAATATGAAATACAGTCTAAAAATATATATAATATAGATAAAAAAGGATTTCTTATTGGAGTGCTATTTAAGGGTAAAAGAATCTTTTCCAGACACCGCTATAAGTAGGATAGGATAAAGCAGCGCCTACAAGATAGTAATCGTGAATGGATTACCACTATTATTTATATTTATGCGGATAGAACAGCTCTACCACCAGGGCTTATTTACTAGGCGGTTTCAAGTAATCTACAAGACTTCTGGTTCCAGGATTTTGATACTACAAAGTACTACTACTTTTTTATCTCTTCAGCAAGTAGCTGGACAAATAATAATATTGGATTTGTATGGGTTCGAGATCTATTCAATTCGGAGACAAAGAGTAAGGTACAGAGACAATAGAGGCTTCTAATTCTTGATAGCCATGGATCCCACATTACAATAAAGTTTATAAACTTCTGTACAGAGAATCGAATCTATTTAATAACTTATCTACTGTATTCAACACACTCTCTACAGCCTCTTGATATTGGTATCTTCGGGCCACTTTCTACAGTCTATAGTAATGAATTGGAGAACTTTTTGTATACCTCCCAGAGTCTCAGTTATATTATAAAGTATAACTTCTTCCGCCTCTTTTGGTCGAGCTGGGAAAGAGCTTTATTATCTAAAAATATTAATTCTGTATGGAAATCTGTTGGTATATTGCTCTGGGACCCCGAGATTGTTCTAAAGCGGTTTAGCAAAGAAGACGATTAACGGCTATCTAGCAGTAAGTTATCCCAGTCTATATTATATACAGATAACTGGAGAAGAATTAAAAAGCTTCTTCGACAGGTTATTTCTGATGTTTATGATGAGGGATCAAAAAAGCTTAGTTCTACAATATACTATCTCTTAACAGAGAATATCTTGCTAAAACTACGCTGTGAGGGTCTCGAGAATACTCTTCTGAATGAGAAGAAGAAGCGGCAGCGTGGGAAACCTCTTTTATTTAAATTGAGAGCTCCAGAGGATAGCTATACTGTATTTTATTCGCCAGGCAAGATACAACAAGCGCGGCAGCTTCAGAGTAAAAAGAAAGCTGCTATAGAGCTTGCTAAGGCATCTAAAGAGCAAGAAAAGCTTCGCCAGCAGTAAGAGAAGCAAGAGAAGCAACACTTAGTTGAGGAAAGAAAACAAATCAGAGCAGCTAATAAAGAATTACACCTCCTTGAAGCAGAGCAAAAGAAGTGCCAGAAGGAGGAAGAGCGCCTGGCTAAGGAAGCTGATAACCAGCTTTAAAATGACTTCAAAGTAGTCTAAAAAGACAAGAAGAAGTGTCCTAAGCCAGCTATATCTCAAAAGAAGCAAGATATTACTATTCCAGAGCCTAAGATTGATGGGGAGAGCTGTATATCTATAAATTGTCGTGGAAGGCAAATACACCTCCCACAACAATTCCGGGATTAAAAAAAAGCTCTATATAGCTTTAGTAGCATCATATCTCTGCTTTATCAAAAAAACCAAGTATAATTTATTTAGTATGTTACTTTAAAGCTTCATTTTTAATGTTGGTTGCCATACAGAAATTCGTGCGGCAGGTGGGGACGTGCGTCAGGTGATCAAGTACGGTATGTTTCGGAAACTGATTGCGAAAAAAATCTGTACCCTTACTCCGTACTAAATTTAATAATCTGTATGAACGGCGCTTAGTATAATCGCAGCCCCCTGTCTGGCCTACTACTAATAGTTTAGCTCCCACTACAGCAAAACATCAAGTGCATAAATCAAGATGGTTGGGCGGCAGCGAGATGGTGTGCTCTTTTCTCTTATCCATTCCGTTGACCGTGCCATCGAGTGAGCAGATTCCAATTTATTTTCTACTTATTAGTTCCACCACAATGTTAAATGATTATCTACCAAGACTCCGGCAGTTAATGAAGCGATATCACATTCGGTTTGATCTACCGGGTGACCCATGGCCTCAAGCGCACGTTAAAACGTTCGACAACATCCAGAAACTGGGCAGGTTTAATTTTGACACATATTGCGCCGGGGTTAGCATTTGGTCATCCAGCGAGCCGTGGAAAGAGCACATTAAAACTCGGGCTGAATGGCATAGCCGTCGCACGGAGCGCTTATTTGGCCGGGAGCGCAACGAAGCTGGCTGGCGTTTTGAGCTGGAATATGATGTCCTGATGAGACTTTCAGCTGAAGTTGCCTGGCAAGTATTGTTCATCAAAAGTGTCTTCGGGACTCAGGCATATACCCGTAGCACTATCGTCTATAGAGCACCAGTTAACATTTGATAGCCCAAAATGCCGAGCAAGAATTTGGAAGTCTGGGATAGAGGCCACCTTTAGTGGCAATCAAACTGAGCACCCAGAAAAGCTTGGGGAGCGTAGGAAACGGAGAACACCATGTCAGTGTCCACCAAATCAACGATCTAAAGACTTGTCTTTCATACCTAGATCCTTTGCGGCTGAATGGTTTCTAACTAATTGCAGCTACGAACTTGGAACAAATCGCCTATTTGATAGTCGAGTGCAGGAGTTTGTGGTATATGACAACCTCCTCAAATCCTAGCTACTTAAGCAAGTCCCTAATCGTGTCATTGGCCTGCAATGCACGAGGAATTTTGATAACCTGCTGTCGAGCCCCATTCGCTCAGATCTCGCAAATAACGAAGATGACATAGCTTCAGATATCCTTCAGGTTACTCCCTTTCAGAGCCAGGCAGATCCACTTCTCTTCCCGTCTTTGCTCTTGGAGGCCAAATCTGAAACAAGTCCGAGCGGATTTGATGCCATCTTGGTACAGTCAGCATTCCCAATCTACACACTTCTGAAACTGCAAGAAGATTTGCGATTATCAGTTGCCCGAACACCGGGTGGAGAGGGGTTTGAAGCTTTGGTATAGTTTCTAGCATACCGCGGTGATTTGTGGAGAGTGTATGCGTACCACCTTAACAGAGGAGCCAATGAGGAGTCAACAAGATATGTAAGTACATCCCCTCTATCATCTAATAGTGCCGTGGGTTGCAATTAGCTGATTTGCACGTAGGAATATCACATTGCTCTGGTCAGGGTCTTTGATACATAAAGATCGTACACTACAAGTGTTGCTGATTGTTGACTATATTGTGGGCTGGGCAAGGGATATCTACCGCGTTAGCAATTCTGAATCAGATAAAATGTTTGGTGACTGGCCAAGAATATGACCAGATCAGCATCGTTGATAGTTTTGTCTTCTCGATGCGAAGAGACATATCTAATTGGATCCCAGCCCCACCCAGCACGGTCCTCAACGATGATTCCGACCATCCAAGTGGCATTGTAACCGAAGAGATACCCTTTTCACTCTCATTGGAGCACCAAGCAATGCTCAATTTTCAGATCCCAAACTCAGTCAGTGGCTCTGTTCGCTCGGCAGCCCTGAGTGAATTTCGATTTGATTGTTTATATTTGGCAGAGGAACTTATCCCCAGTTTTCTAAAAGTTATTGGAGGGTGACGGGATAATCCCCAAAATATCGAAAAGGCTGCGCGACACATAGTTAATTTTGTGATACAGTTTGATGAGGTTCTGGTAATGTCAGGGGCCGACCTTGAATTTCTCAAAGACTCTGGACAAATACTAGTCGGTCAGACCCAGGGGCACAAAGAGAAGAGTTTTATGTCGTTATGGAATGCGGCTGGTACTTCACGCCCTTATGGGAGATCACAAGGCAGCTTTCATGCTTCGCTACCTCACAAGCGGCTTTTAACAGTTTGCGGACGCACGCCAAGTTTTCTGTACGTCGCAGGGGTATCGAGAATCTTAGCAAAGTGGAACGGCGTTGTTCCAAGCAGGTTCTCCAGGAATGTATTGAGTGCCTTCGAGCAGGGTCTCCGTGGCAGGTACTGTTAGCTGCGATTTCCTGTACCCTCGTCACAGTTTACCCCCTACCTGTTAGGCGAAGAGATGACTTCACACCACCGGTCGATGTCCTTAGCCTTGGTTATCCCCGTGACGATCGAGTAACACCATTTATCAGGAAGTATCTTAAGCGGGTTCTATAGAAGCCGCGCAGAAAGATAGTCATCTCAAAGAAAGAGATGCAAGCAGCTCTACATCAAGGATACACCGCGGATGAAAATTTCGCAATGAGACATAACAAATCACCACAACACGGGAACATGTCCTGGAAGCGGAATTCTAAACAACGAACACACATCATTGAGGAGAAATGCCACACCCATGATACCTGCGAGCGATGTCGTCATAGCCCCGGGACAAATTTATCCCCATTTGGTCACGGATACTTGGACACACACAACCAACCAGTGTTATCAGCGTACGGGACAGTCCTTGTGGTCTCTGTATGCGACATATCTATATCGTACAAGCCTGAGGCGTGTGTCTTTGCGCTAAAGTCAATAGGGGATCTGAAAGACAATATAGCTCTCTCCCTAATGGTGGAGGATTTGATGCAGAGCAAACTTGTCTATCATACACCCAAATGTGGTGTCAGTAACATTAAATCAAACGAAGGTGTAAAGTATAATCTTCCCTTACCATACCGTCAGATAGCCCAGGAGGATAAAACTCTTCTCATAAACTGGATCCTAGAACTGCGCGATAAAGACCACTCCAGTCGCAGACCCTCGCGAGAGAAGGTAAATAACATACAGAAGGTTATATACTATCTCAACTTGGGGCACTTGGAACACGAAGCCCAGGCTCTTGTCGAACAAAAATACCGCTTTTCAACATTCAATAGCATGGTTTCCCCAGCAAGGCAAGAAAATCGGAAGCAAAACTATGACCAGATTAGCCCTCACAGAAAGATAAAACTATGTGGCAACGATCTGACCCCGGCGATTTATGACATCGGATGATGGCAAAGCCTTTTTAAGGCAGCACTATCCAAAGCAGTTCCAAGCTATGTCGTCATTATAAATATTCCTCAAATTCCTACAAGAGAGCAGGGTCGAATAGTCATTGAGATTAATTGAATATTGCCAAGGAGACCCGGTCTGTTCAGCTATAAGATCGAACTGGTACAAAGTGGATCCTTAACAAATCACAGATAGTCTATTTTTTTTTTTTTTTTTTGCCGCATGGGCTTATATTCTCTTAGTGAGGTAAATAGGGTCAATCAACCAAGATTCTATTAACCTGGTAGAGCCTCGTTATAGGGTGACCCCACACTCGAAGTACCTGCCTAAGGTGCCCGTCCCTATATTTCAAGGATAGAGGTTAGACACTACGATAAGCCAAACCATGAAATCTATACATACAGATCACTATAGATCAACTGTACTAACTCAGGAGCAGTGTCAATCCAGCAGTATTAGTCGCGCAGTAACTTGCTCCGATCTACACTGCTTCCAGCTCTGGTGTTTATTTATGTACATGGGAAGGTGCAAGTAATAGTATGACCATCACCGCCAATACCTGCCCACTTGTCTTGTTTACAGCCATCCTCGTTAAAGTCCCGGTGTTCATTGCTGTAGTTCAGGTAGCCATCAGTGTCACCATTGGTGTGGATACTATTTTCTGGTGTTAGCATAATAGCCTCGGTCAATATGAATCCAGACGAGGGCCTTACCAGATAGAGTATGGCAGTTGTGAACTGAAGCAGTGATCGCCTGCGTGCCAAATCTCGTTGCATGCTTCACTGAGGACATCCTTTCGGCCATCGCCATAGTCGAGAGAAACACCGCAGGTGTATGAATTATCACCGCCACCGACAGCATTCTGGATTCGAGATATTCGATTAGATGCCACTCGCTCAGAGAAACATGTAGATGGGCCTCACCTGACCGCGCTGCTCGTCCAACTCAACAGTACATGTGCGATCGCGACGCTCGACTGCCGCAGCTGAGGTACTAGCAAGAAGGGTAGAAACAACCGTAAGGAACATAGGGAGCATCATGTTGGTTATGACTGTTTGAGTCGAGGGCTCGTGGTAGAAGAAAATATAGAGATTATGGAGGGAATAGCAGAGGATGGGCTAGAGGAAGAATTTGCATCACCTTCTTATAGTCCTGCTCGGGCAGCACATTTCAGTTGCTCTCCGGGCTTTTCATCTGTCGACCTTGGACGGAAACCTCGGTTGGCATGACCCGACATCCTGGCCCCCAACATTAGGGCGGCTACGATCGTTTCCCTAAGAGACCGGGATCCATAATCCCCACATTCCGCTATCCAAGCATCATTCAGGGCTCATCCGGAGTAAATTAGGAGGTCCACTGTTACCACAATTCTTCAACAAATTTGTCAAGCAAAATCATCGCCCACTCGGCTTAATTACCTTCTTCAGCCAACCTGGCCTTCCTCCAGTTAACATCCCCCACGCACTCCACACATCATTTTGGTTACATTCACTTCGGTTGTACGACGTATGTGGAATAGATATAAGACATGGCTGAGTGATAACAGGCTCCACAGCCTCCACCTATCTCCCAACAAGCTGAATGTTTTCATAACTGGCTTTCCACGGCAGGTGAATACAATGCATGGCCAACTTTTAGCCGAACAATCAGTGTATTGCATGAAACGGGACTGCTATCTAGCAATGGCTGCTGGCGGAAGGATGACCTGTTATCAGTCGACAACGATATCGCGCATCATGGACAAATACACATGTCGTAATTTGGCATCCTCTTTACTGTACTTCAGATCGTCGAAGGAGCGGCCAATTTGGTTCAACCGGATGTCAGGGCTCTTCGGATAGTGAGGTCGGAGAGGTTGGAATACGGATGCTTTCATCATGCCGGTTCACACGCAACTAGTACACTATAGTGTTCGTGAGTAGGGCCCACACTTGCTTTCTGGGCGGATCAACTCCAATGCGACCGTCGTTCCCAGCATGAGTGGTGGATTTGATGAGGCAATATTCTACAGTGCAGCGTACTAGCAGAGGGCCAAGGACATCTTAAGAACGTCCAGTAGATTCCATGCCCAAAATACAGGAGTATACGCTTCTCATGAATGAAGATTGCACACAGAAATGACAGTATATTGTCCCGGGCAACTAGTTGACACGTCTCTTATTGATGATGCATCAGCTAACACACTCACACCACCTGGCTCCGAGAACTATCTGTATCTCTGGGTGGATCACTCTTGGGTGATGAAAGCTAGATGAGCTGAAGGATCTGCTGGTTTTTCTTCCTCGCCATTGTCGCTCCTATCTCTTCTCTCTTGGGCACGATATATAATATAGCTCTCTGAGTCGGCAAATTTGGGCCCGGAATGAGCGATTGATGATCCCCATACCAGTAGCTACTGTAACCTAATACTCAGTCAACTTGGCGGCGGCAGCTGGATAGCGGTCTCCGGCTACAGGAAACCTCCTAAGGATGTCGTCAAGCTGTCCCATGTCACCCTGTGATAGTGGCACATGAGTGTTATTTTCCCTGACCCTCTCCACTGCGCGTGCTCCTGGAAGCGGGATGATTGTTGGCCACTCTCCCGCGCCACTGCGAGTTCGAAGCCAACTCAGTGCCAGCTGCGCAGGAGTACATTCTTTCACCTTCGCTACCTCCTTCACCTTTTCTACTAACTGCAGGTTGGTCGGGAGGTTCTCGGGCTGAAATCGGGGAAACCGTCGGTGATAGTCATGGGGAGGTATATCCTCAGGACTTCTAATCCTTCCTGTCAACATGCCAGCCCCAAGAGGTGTATGTGCCTCCATCACGATACCGAGTTCGGCACATGTTTTGGCAACTCCGTTCTCAAACACATCCGTTGCCCACAAGCTTATCTCTGCTTCCACCATATCCACTTTCGCCACCGCATGTGCCCGGATGATGGTGTTCGAGTGAACCTCACTAAGCTGAATTCCCCCAATTTTACCTTCCTCGACCAGTTCTTTCAAGGCGGCGACTGTTTCTTCGATCGGAACGTGCGGGTCCACACGGCCAGGCCCGAACAGATCAATTCTCTTGGTCCCCGCAAGGATAGCATTGGCGCGATCCACCGATTGCCGGATTGCAGCAGGGGAGCTATCCATAGAAAAGGTACGCATATCTGCAACCCCACTCTTGACGCTCAGGACCACCCTCTCCGCATCGGACGGGTATTGAGAGAAATAGCGCTGCAGGAGGTGCAAAGAATTATTTTCCGGTGTCCCGTAGAAATCGGCGGCATTCCAGACGTTTGCCCCAGAGTCTAGCGCTGCCTTTAAAACAGGAAATGCTGCCTCGTCCGGAATGGCATCACCGGGAAGGGTGAAACCTGCCTGCTTGGTCAGCATGTAAGTGCGAAAGTCTACGGAGTAATGGACAGCGAACGCATAAGGCCGAGACCGGTAGACCCAATTTCCTTTCCTACAAGAGTAGGCATTGTCGGTGGTAGTACTGTGTGTTTTCCCTAATTTCTCTCCAAGCTGAACGAGGAGAGAGCTATTTGTATAGAATCTTCCGCGACCTTAACTCCGATCGGAGTCCACTAACTCCGTGACCCACCCACTCTACCGAAATTGCCCTATCAGACCTTGAGTAGACATCGATACTCAATACGACAGCACCCTGTTGAACAACAATTTATCTTTACAAGCATCGTGTAATTATTAGGTTTATGGATAGACTAAGCAATGGTCTGGTGCGTCAAATTTAGACTCCCCGGGGGGGGGGGGGGGGGGTGGGTTATATCTTCTCAGCGTTTATGCTCACCTACATACATATATATATCCTTTGTCCTGGCACAGCTACAACAGCACTCACTGGATATCACATCATAGGAGGAAATATTTCAGAGTCATCTCCTAGATTGAATTAAGTATTCCAAATCATCCGGAATGTCATTTCCAATATCACCATCAGGGCACGTTTTCCGCAGCCGCCGGCATCAGAGCCCCAGCTGGCGGCTGGTTCTTCTTCTTGAACTCATCGCACATCTGCTCGAAGGTTACCCACTCCACCCCTTCGTGTTTATTGATATGCTCGATAATTCTGCGACATGTCAACCCAGTTGTCCTTATAGAGTGCCATCTCCAGCCGTTTTCGTACCTTTCGTGCATAAGTAGCACATGGGGCCGCCCAGAAACATCTGGGTGTATCGTCATGGGGAAAACAAATTCGTCATACTCGCGGTAGAAATAATCGAAATGGTCCTAGGCACCGACAAAGCAGTCCAGAATTAGCCACGCAAGGTCTTTGAGAAATGGCCCGTTGTTTGGGGGGGCACATAGAACAAAAGGTCAAGACGGGGAACAAACCTTCCAGATATCCTCCACGTCCCGCGGATTCACCCACCCGTGGCTATTCGCAGAATTCTTGATGAACATCATGGGTGGCAGATCATCAATGTACCAACTACCTGGAATCTCCACCAGGCCGGTCGTCTGGCCCCGAACTAGTGGTTTCATCCACGTCTCCGCCTTTTGGCTGTAGTCAATCTTCGTCCATGAGTCGCCCGTCCGCAACCAGTACATCTGGCAGTCTTCGTGAGACATGGAGTGGTCGTACTCAATACCGTAGGCAAGAAGCAGTTCCACCATCTCTGCGCTGGCCTCCCACCATGGGGCGACAATCCCGCGCGGCGGTTTACCACAGAAGTCGCGGAGCATTTTATAGGTCTTGTCGAGAATGTCCCGCTGCTGCTCCTGCGTCATGCTGGCCGGGTTCTCGTGTGAGTAGCCATGCAGGCCGATCTCGTGGCCCGCATCCCGGATCTGCGCACACTCCTCCGGGAATGTCTCCAATGTGTGGCCGGGAATGAACCAGGACGCCTTAATATTGTATTTCTCGAACAGCTTCAGCAGCCGCGGTGTGCCGACGTGTCCAGCCCACAGGCCGCGACTGATATCGCTTACGCTGTCCTCTCCACCGTATGAGCCCAGCCAACCTGCGACCGCGTCGATGTCTACCCCGTAACCGACCAAAATGCGCTTCTTGCCCATTTTACGTTGGGGGTGGATGGGAAGTTCGGGTTTGATGGCTGTTTCTGTTCGTTTGAGTTGGAATGTGGTTAGGAGGACTTCCAGGCGGACACCACTGTAGTTCTCAGTCAATGGTTCGTGAAACAGGCGTGGTTGAACGTTGATATTTAAATCGTTGAGGGGATGTTTGACTGGGCACGAGGGGTTGAAGTGGGGAATGTCAAGCATGGAGGTTGAGCTGCTTATCAGGCTTTCCCCTCAAAGGTGGGGGTTTGGTTGTTGCAGCCGAGGAAGATCGTTTATCCTTAAGATGGGGGAATACCTATTAGTTTACTCTGGATATGGGAAACACCCTTGATTCTTTGGATTTGTTCTGCTAAGAGCTATTTTCTATTCTAGCAAAAGCAATAGTCATCCCTATTTCACTCACATCGTGGAAGTAGTTGTAGCTCTCATTTCCCGAAGCCCGATTCCGAGGATATTATTCTAGCTAAAGCTTGCCCTTGCATACCACAGCACCCTCATGTTCGATGATTGCAGAGGCCTGGTATATCTGCTGTTCTACAATTCTGGAATTAATCTAAAGAGAATCGCGTCAGTGAGTATAGGGAAATCAAAAGAAGGCATCGGTTACATAGTGTGGACCCAAGTCGTTGACTGTGGTGGCCCCCAAGAGTCGCATGCACGTCTTTGTCTCGTCCAGCAAAACTATAAGGCGAAGATAGAATATTAGCGTATGACCAAGGACAATCAGAGAAGAGAATAGGGGCCAGACTTTGTAGCGTTCGTTCAACTCCTTGCACCCCACCAGCGGCCAGGCCCCAAAGAGCCGGTCGTCCAATGCCAACAGCCTTCGCACCAAGACACAGTGCTTTGACTACGTCGGTACCTCGTCGAATGCCACCATCCACCCACACCTCCATCTTCTTGAAGACATGAGGGGAGTACTTCCGCACTTCAAGGAGTGTGTGTACGGCCGGCGGCGCCGTGTCCAGCGACCGTCCACCATGATTTGACAGGATAACTGCTTGCACTAGAGGCGTATACCGCGCGGCAATAGCAACATCTTCATGAGTTTGCAGACCCTTGAGGATGATAGGTTTCTTTGTGTGTTGTGATAGCCACTCGAGGGTCTCATGCCAGGTGAGAGACGGATCTGTACCAGCAAAAAGCTGGGTACTAACGCTGCCTGCTGGATTGACCTGCACATTGATACGCTCGTCATCTTCTCGCTTTCCAGACACGGGAGCATCAAGCGTCAGCACAACGAATTTGATCGGGTCCAGCCTGTTCACACGTGCGAGCATTGCTTCGCTTGCGCGGCGGTCTAGCTGAACATATAGCTGCCATCCAAATACCTGAGTCGGGAAGGCATTGGCAACCACCTGTTCGGGTGAGAGCGAGGAATTGTTTGCGATGATCTGGAGAGCTCCAAAGGCTCCGCATGCTTCTGCTATTCCAGCCTCCCCGCTAGGGTGGCCTAAGCGAGCCATGGCTGTTGGAGACACGTATATAGGGAGACCAACCTTCCATCCCAGGAGCTCTGTCTCCGCATTGCATCTCCGGCAGTCGACAAAGACTCGGGGACGTAACAAAAGCGATCGGTAAACTTGCGTGTTGAAGTCTTTTGTGATCTTATCGTCCGCCGCGGAGTAATAGTACGCCCATGCCTTTTTGCTGATTACACTGGTGGCTACCTTTTCGATCTCCTCCAGGTTCAAGAGTGAGTTATCATCAATTTCGTCCGGTGTATCCTTAGTCTGAGTTGCATCAGATGACTCCTCATCGAGGAAGAGTGACCCAATAAGTGCAGACTGGAGACTCTCCAAGGTGTCAGACGGATGAATGGGATCAAAGTCTTCTGTCGCATCTCTGCCACTCACGCGCAGAATGGCTTGGGCACCGCCAGGGTGGCTTGACAGCATATGCGTTACCTTGTCCCGATCAGATACTTATGATGAAAGTACAATGGGGTCGCAGCACAAACTCACATCATAGACCTTTCCATAGAGAGCAACCCAGCAGCTGTTCTCCGTGTTATGATTCGCAACTTTGGCTGTTAGTTAAGCCTTAGTCTGGGGAATTGTTGATGCACCTTCAGCACTTGTGAAAACCTTGTCCATATTGAGTTTTGAACTATTGGCTACAGCATAAATGACCAAGTCCTCCACACTAAGGAAGGCAATATTAAATCATAACTCGCTATGTAATGAACCATGAAAGAGTCAAATACTATAGCTTTTCCCCACTCTTAGCCGATTAATGCCCCCATCCCAGGGAATGATCAAATCCTCTCATTTAATTCAGTTGCCCACATTCGATAGATCAGGAAGAGATACACAATACGGTAACCCCCACCCTTGGGTAGTCTTTTACACTCGATTAACAGGGTAGAAAGTTTGCTCTGATCAATTTGGATGCCTGCGGTTTCATGGTGCCAGCCCCATCCTTTTGCCCGTAGCCTCCACTATTGTGTCCTCGCAGTGACCTAGAAGACCAAATCGCTGGAGATTTACCGTCCATGGAAGCTCTTACAGCGCCTCGTGTCCATGTGTCTCGAATGGCAACCCAAAAGAGAGAACTCCCACAGTCACCCACATTGCAGCACTGGCATAGATAGGGGCGCTAGTAAATCCGGTCTGAGATGAAACGAGACCGGCCACCAGGCCCCCAAGCCGCAGGAGGGCTGCTGCGGTGCCTGTTCCAGTACCACGATGGGGGGCTGGGAAGGATTCAGGGGTGAAGGCGAACATAACAGCATACTCTGGGAAAAGTGGTGAGTTTCAGCAGTCAATAGGAATTGCCGACTTTAATGCTCGCTTACCAAAGTTAGCTAGGATACTGGTGACACAAGAGAAGGCCAAGCTGGCAGTAGAGTTATTGACCCCCACATAGGCGAAAAGGAACACGGCCGTCACTATGGACGAGATTCCCATCATATACCGGCGGCCGAGCGTGGTGTTGACTCCCACAGCAGCGGATAGCGGACCCACAATGCCAACAGCCGATGTGATGCAGTAGTTGCGGTAGGTTAAATAGAGGGAAGAGCCCTCTGTGAATTTGGTTTCCAAATACGATGGGAGGAAGTTAAAGTAGAGAGGGTATCCGATGCCTGTGATGAATATTAATTAGGAACCTCGCGCCTGGTGTTTTCTAGGGACCAAGCCTACCAATGGTTAACCATACTACCCAAATAATTATGGTATGTCTAGAAAGCTTTGATGTCGCAAATAGAGCGCGGTAATGTTCACCCCTGAATGTTCGCATGTTGTCGGCGATCATTTCCTTCGTCGAAATTCGTGCGTGTGCTCCATCTTCACTGGGCGTAGTGCCCAGCCGAGTATCAATTTCGCGAAGCATGCCAATTGTCAAAGGCTCTGGCCTTCCATTCTGTCTAGCAACATGGTTGACTGCTTCTACAGCATCTTGATCCCGCCCCTGAGATAATAGGTATCGTGGAGTCTCGGGGAGCTTGAAAGCAAGCAGGCGTATTATGGTGAAGACGAGAGACATGCCTCCCAACGTAATCAATGTATATCGCCTAGAAGTCACCGGGTTAGCTTTGAAGTGCAGATAAGCTGCGAGCTCGTACCATCCCATGTTCTCGCGGCGGGGACACGTTGCTGGAGTCGTGTCTGTTGGGCAGCTGAAATTGGCCAGGAATACCCATGCAATCAAGGAAACAATCAGTTGACCTAGGCTCCACCATGCAGTCAATGCTGTGAGAAGATATTGATGGCTGATTGTCCATTAGTTCTCAAATGACGATTAGACTACAGAGACACAGACCTCCTAGGAACAAATTCCAAGAACATCATCGAGCCCACTGGGACGTTCCCGCCGGCTGCGGTACCAATGACCGCCCAGAGAGCACTAAAGGCCACGAAGTTCATAGATCCGGCAACAGCGCAGAGAAAGGTGCCTGCTATAAGTACTGTAAGGTTGAACGCGGGTCGTCGACCGATTAAGTCGCTGGAGATGCCCCAGAACGATGCACCTAGGATGAGACCGATGTAGTACGCGATCGAACTGTAGCTGACATGGACAATGCCCGAAAGCTCTTGTTGAATAGGAGGCTGGACACTGCCAATACCTTGGGAGGCAAACTAGCGAGACGCAACGTTAGCATCGGGAGAACTAGAGAATGGGAATACACGGTTACGTTGTCCACGATCCATCCAAAGCCTGTTACAAAAAACAGTTTCCACTGAAACCTAATTCTATAAGCAGTGATTCTCACATACAGAGGTTTTCAATATACTCACTTTCCCATGCCAATATCCTCCATGCACCTTCCTACCAACTCCGACTTGAGCCGGTACGCGTGTGTAGTAGAAGAACCATAGAACTGTTCAACTTCATTGTCGTCGAGGGCAACGACATTGCCTGCAGCCTTATCTGGATGGGCGTCATGGGTAGGCTGACTGTGCTTCTTTTCCAAGTGAATTTCCTCCATTTTGGATACCTTTGATCCTGGTGGTGCTCCCTTCATATTCAGGCCATGCCTGTATGCCAATTCATATACTCACCTTTAGGGCTGAGAGTTCTGCTGAAAATGTGTAGCAGCCAATCATGCCGACCAATTTACAACCCCAGGAGGTGATAACAAAAGTGGGTGAAGATAATACGACGGCCAGACCTAGCCAGATTCCCCCCACCTTTGCTCGTCCATGGAGAGGAATACAGAGAGGATGGTCGTTCTCCAGCCTAGACCAGGAGCAAGCACATACCCTCATTAACATGATGTCATAACGGCATTATGCGGCAGGTATCCATTCGTCTATCATGATAGACATATGATATATGGGTACGATTATGGTGAGGACAACTTGGTTTAAGACATGAAAGCATTGAGACACAAATAACAACGCTCCAGTGTAGCTCGCTACGCTCCGACAGAAGCTACCGTTGGGGTAGACGCCAGGCTCTGCATTTCCATCTCCTTCTTGTATTTTTCCGCCCGGCCATAGCTCTCCTTGTAGGCTTCTGTTACCCTATCCTGGACGGTAATGGGTGGGTATTTCGCTGGCTCTCCCGGATCACAACAATTGGGCAGGCACTCGCAAATATAGTCCGGGTTTCCACTAAAAAAGAATGGAATCGAATATCTCTCACGGCCCGACTTGTTAATCACGCGATGAATGTTGGACTTGTATTTATCATTAGCCATGCGCATGAACAGGTCGCCCAGATTCACAACGTAGGCCCCCTCGACAGGTTTCACCTGTAGATGATATGTATTAGTTATGGCATAAATACGGGCAAGCTAGGCACACACATCAAGCCACTGCCCAGTGGGTACGTCCAAGACCTGCAAACCATCCACTTCATCCTGCAGGAGCAAAGTAACACATCCAAAGTCAGTATGGGCTCCAATTCCACGATTGAGCTTCTCGTCCTGGTCCTTCGGCTGCGCGGGATAGTGGAGGTAACGCATGGTCGCAACAGCGCCTTCGGTGAGAGGCTCGAAAAAGGTCGAGTCCACACTCAGGGTTAACGCAACCACACCAAGGACGTCTTTAGCGAGCTCGAATACCGCACGATAATATTCCATTGTTGTCTTTTGGAAATCCTCCTTGTCGGGGACGGTCTGTGGCCATTGATTGGGACCACTATTCAGCTTCTTCTGGATAAAGTATGGATGATCTTCGGGAATCTCCTCGCCAATATAGAGGCCTTCTTTCAGCTCAGGGCCGGTGCCCGCCTCGAGCATTTGCGATCGCAGCAGCTCATAGCCCCGGTTGAAGGTATTGAGGTCTACCTGGTCAGTCAAGGTTCGTTCTCAAGGCGGAAATTGAGGACGATACTTTTGTCAATTTGCATCTTCTCTGCTAAAGGCATATCGAAGAAGCGTTTGGAGCAATTCATCACACGGCGCTGCAAGTCGAGCGGCACACGATGGCCTGTAATCTGGAAGAAGCCATTGTAGTGGCAGCACTTGCGCACCTCCTCCACCAATTTGGCCTTTGCTTCATTGTCACCCCCGTAGAAGGGAGAGAAGTCCAGGATCGGGGGAGCAGTTGGTGCGGCCATAGTTCTTCGCTATTGATTGGTACTAGTATCGTTCTCGTCGCGACTTGTGTCTGACTCTGGCAACAATATGTCCTGCTCGAATATATCCCCCCCATAAACACCGTCGAGATCTCATCACTACCACCAAGGTTCGGACAGAATGCCGACATCCAACCCCTCATGCACAATCAGAGGATGAAGAGGGCGAGGAGGCGAGGGTGGGGGTGCTGCTCAAAGATGGGGTGATAGAGTTGCTGCATCCGGTCACATTGATAAGATGATCGGCAGTCCAAGCTACAGCACGACGCGGGGTGTTATCTCGGCAGTCAGTCTTTAGCTTTCGACTTGGCAATATTCGTACTTTTGTACCAAATATCATACAGCTTCTATCGTAGATACGAGATAGGGCCCTAGCGGACTAAAGCGTTTTTAAGCCCATGTATCCCCTATGATGACATTTAAGTAGGCCCGCCCGTGATGTAAATTATGAGAAAGGATACAAGGAACCTGTAGCACAGACAATATGTCTAAACAAGTGAAACAATCTGCGATGACATCCCCAAATGCCGAAGCAAATATGGGGCAAAGCTCCACTTATGCAGACCAAGACGCCGAACAGGCATACCGTAGAAAAGTGGACCTGTGGGTGTTGCCAATGCTGTGCCTGGTGAGAACATTGAGACCGGTCGGAGAAAACAAAAGGATCTCAAACTAACACCTATAGATGTACTTCTTTGATTGCATGGATCGCGTGGGTCTTTGGTATTCTCCTTTAGTTACACGCACAATACTAACATGACCAGAGTAACTTGGCAAATGCCAAAACGGATGGTCTCGACGACGACTTGAACTTTCAGGGCAATGATTATTCGCTACTAATACTTCTTTTTTATATTCCATTTGGTCTGTTTGACCTTCCATGGAACTTACTGATCAAGCGCTATTCTGGTCGACTCATGCTCTCATTTAGTAAGTTCATCCTAGGCCCCGGCTCCGAGGAAGTGACTAAGTCGTACGCTATTATTCATTAAGTGTCCGTTGTTTGGGGTATCCTTGCACTTTGCCAGTGTGCAGCTAAGAACTTTGGCTCATTACTTGCCATTCGTATCGTTCTCGGTATTTTTGAAGCAGGTTTCTTTGCTGGAGCGACCTTTTACTTGACCCTTTTCTACACCCGCGGGGAAATGGGCTTTCGCCTGGCCGTTGTCCAGTCGTTCGCTGTTCTGGCCTCAGCCTTCAGTGGACTGATCTCTTTCGGCGTCTTCCAAATTGATAGTACGTCGGTGAAGGGGTGGCAGTACTTATTTATTATCGAAGGTGGAATGACACTACTAATCGGAGTCCTGGGCTTTCTGATTCTACCAGATAACCCCCAGAAGGCCTGGTTCCTGAACAGTAGGGAGAGAGAGGCAGCAACCGCTCGACTACTTCGAGACTCTTCATCCGAAGTAGCGACCGATTTCAATCTTAAAGCTTGCTTTCAGTCTTGGGCCGACTGGCAGTTCCCCATTTGGTGCATAATAACGTTCACCTATCCCGTTGCCTATGCAACAGCAATGAACTTCTTCCCTCTAGTGAGTTCGGGACTATATACAGTCTCCAAAGCTTCAGCTCTGACGGAAGCAGATCGTGCAACGTCTCGGATACTCCGTTGTGAAGACCAACTTGTGGACGGTTGCCCCAAATCTGGTCGGCGCAGTGGTGTTGCTCAGCGTCGCCAAATCATCGGACTACTTTCGCGAGAGAACCCTTCACATAGTATTCTCCCTAGCCCTTTCCCTTGTGGGGATGGTGATTCTAGCTGCCATTGATGTTCTTCAACATAAGGGGGTGGCCTACTTTGCTTGTTTTCTAATGGCATCGGGCGCATATATCCCATCATGCCTTGTTCATGCTTGGCATAATAACAACAACGTGCATGAAAACTCCCGCGCGGCGAATACGGGATTTTTTGTGGGCTTGGGGAATCTAGCGGGTGTAGTCAGTGCTGCTACCTTTCGGACCGAATATGCTCCCAAGTATGTCGCACCCTAATCTCAAGGAGTAAATATAAGAAAAAAGAAAAGTTCTGGACTAATTCACGGCAGGTATCTCCCTACCCTAGTTGCGACTTGCTGTTGTAATGCCGTATGTATCGTCTTCGTCACGGGATTAGGGTTATGGATGCGGATGGAGAATCGTCGTCGCGATCGGAAACAAGGACTAAGGGTGAGAGAAGATGGAGTGGATACTAGTCAGGTCAAGAACGGCAGTAACAGCATGGAATGGCGGTACTTCCTGTAGATCTTGCATGTTATAACGGGTGGGGATATCTCTCTTAGGGCTATGTTGACTCCACCCACGTTCGCTGTCTATGAGAGTGAGAATAGTTGAAAATCTTTACGTTGAAACTCCAATCACTACTAACTTGGCGTCGTGATCATTATTGGCTACGAGTAGAGATAGGCCACATATCAATCTCTCTCTCTATCAATTTTATGTTTTTTATCTATTAATCCAGCGTTCCCCGCATTCTTATCAGTGACATCGGCCATCACGCCGAGGGCCCATGCATTTCTTTCTTAGTCCTCAATTTCCACCTCCGGACTTCCACTGCCATTGAGTTGAGTGCGAATTTCCTTCATATCCTTTGCTAGCACCATGAAGAGTCACCCTTGTGAATATCCCGGCTGTGGTAAAAGCTTCACTCGCGCCGAGCATCTACGTCGACATGCCCTCAATCATGAACAGTCGCGCAAGGGCTTTACCTGTAAACGCTGCACGGTCCACTTTCAGCGCCCGGATTTGCTCGGTAAGTTACAACCCTCTCTCGACCTTGACTCATTGGAGTCCCCAGGGCTAATCTATTCAGCCCGACACATGCTGCGTCATGACAAACGAGATGAAGAAGCCGGCGGACCAGGGTTAGGCGTCTTGAATACACGCAAGCGGACTCGCAGAGCTCGTGATGGTACCATCATAGTGCGCCCTTCGCAGCGAGAGATGCGGTCGGGAGCGCGTTCGACAACTTCTTCGTCATCCACAGGTCAGGATTTAGTAGCAGAGGAGGAGCAGGAGGAGGATGAAGAGCCCGTGGACGAGGCCCCCATATCGCCGCCTATTTCTGGCACAGACCCAAGCTCTTTACCGATTGTCGATGCAGATCCATTTTTGGCGCCGATGATGCCAGGCGGCCCCTTTGAGCCCTATGTTGAACCTATTCCAGGACAGTTTGATGCAGCTGACGGATCATTTAATGTCGGGTTGGGTGGCATGGGCGATTTCTTCAGCATGGACACAGGTAGCGTCGCACCTAATTCCATTACGGCTTCCACTTGTCTAATGAATATAGCCACGGACTTCAATCTTCCGTTTGCGGCGACTTGCAATTATAATTGGTTGTTTGATGTCGCCTCTCTCGATGATGCCTTTCATCAATTTGAATTTCCTCTCGGCTTCGATACAGAACCATTCCCTGGTGCACTTGACACGGAATATAATCAGGCAGTAGACAAGTACGATGGCCCGTCAGCCCTGTTGGAGGTAGCGTCAATGATGAACAAAGAAAAGATGTCACAGTCTGCATTGTCACCTATTATGCCCGATATCCTGGACACGGACTGGATGTCCGGCACCTCTTTTCTGGGGCCCAGTCCACCGCCACACCTGCCACGACTGTCGGAGAATTGCCGGCGAGGCATCCTGTCCCTTGTGATGCAAGTATCGCCTTTAGGGATTGATGGTCGGCCAAGGACGCTGGACTCTCCTCTACTTACCCTCGGGGCTCTACAGGGCTATTGTGATCTCTTCTTTACGCGCTTCAATGTTACCTATCCCCTTGTGCATCAGCCAACCTTCAATCCAGATACCATTGACCCAATCTTTCTTGCGGCTGTCCTCTTCATGGGAGCGACCTACAGCACGCGTGAGGCGCATCAGCTAGCCGTAGGCATCCATGACAAACTTCGCAACCAACTTTTGTGCCATGAAGAGTTTTCTCCACAGCCGCAGTTCTGGGTCTTGCAAACAATGCTTCTCATTGACTGCTTTGGAAAGATGAGGGCTGGCCCCAAGCAGCGCGAGCGTGCTCAGCTATTCCACTGTGTTCTGATTAAACTCATCCGCCGTAGCAACTGTTGCAGTATACAAGACTCGCCTCATCTGGCTCGCTCTGAGGATATAGATCAGGCCTGGCGACAGGCGATGGATGCAGAACAGCGGAAAAGGCTGGCGATACTATGCTTCATGTGGGACACTCAGCACGCGGCTCTCTTCTCGCAATCCCTCTGCATGTCAGCATTCGAGATTCGGTCGTCTTTGCCTTGTAGCGCTGCCACCTGGGAAGCATCGTCAGCTCGAGAGTGGGCACACTTTGCTGCCCGTGAAACAAACAGACCGTTCCTGACGGTTCTCAAAGGCTATATTACCCCAGGATCTATGTCTCGACCCCGAGATCTGAATGTCTTTGCTCGCACGGTAATCCTACATGGCTTGATGTCGGTATCAGCCGACCTCAAACGACGCGATCAAACCACACTACGGTCGGAAACACCGGAGCGGGTGGGAGCCTGGACTCCACGGATGAGCCGATCTTATGTTTTATGGAAAGTGGACTTTGATGCAGATTGCCTCGCTATGAAGCTGGGACAGACAGCAGATCCACGTCGTTTCACTGGATTGAAAATGGCAGCCCATGCTCTCTATCATGCCTCTAGCCTGGCATTGAATGTGGAAATCCTCGACTTACAGATTGTCGCGGGAGCAATGCAAATTCTCGGACGAACCGTCACTCCGGCCGACCAGGCCAGATCCCAGGACAATATTATTCGTTGGCTGCACGAGGATTCTGGAGCATCGACCGCTGTGGCACGGCATGCATCACATCTCTTGCAGGATGCGGTGATGAGCCTTCATGATTGGGACCAGGCAGATGCTTTCCATTTTCCCTGGTGCCTCTACTTGGCTACGTTGGCCTGCTGGGTTTTCCATCGAGGCATCGATCCTTCGTCATCTGAGCCCCGAATGAATACAGACTTATCTTCACTTATTGTCATGATGACCAACTGCCCCAGTACTACGGAGCTGGCAGCACTGTCGGGGAAGTACGACCCCAAACCTTTAGTAGCAGCAATGGCCCAGCAACTGGCGACTGTCCGATGGGCAGTAGTTCATGATGCAATGAAGGTACTCGTAGGCTTATCTTAATAGCGCAATAATTCCATTCTGTGTTCTCCTCTAGCTCTCTTCTATTTACTGTAAAAGGGATAATCGGTGTATCCCTTCTCCGCCGGGTCAGCCCCATAGAAGGTCGACCGATCATAAGGGTTCAATGGCAGTCCCTCCTTCAACCGTCGAGGCAGATCGGGGTTGGCGATGAACCACCGGCCAAAGACCACCGCGTCAGCTCCGTCGTCAATCACCTTCGGTCCAGCATTGTGAGGGTTGAAGTTCCCTGCGGCCAGGAATGCAATGCCGCCCTTTTTCAGAGTTGGCCGGAACACATCCAAGGACGGTCTCTCCGACGCGAGAGAATGAATCTTCTCATTCTCGTCTAGAATCTCGTCAAAGCGAGGTTCAATCATATGCACATATGCGGGTCGGGACTCCGCGGGGAGTTCAGCGATTTGGGAGCATAGCGAAAGCCAGTGCACATTCGGGTTCGAGTCTCGAGTGTCCTGGAAGTAGTTGTATGGCGACAGGCGAATGCCTACACGGTCTGCCCCGATGGCCTCAGAGGCTGCCTTCAGTACCTCAAGGACAATCCGGGACCGCTTCTCGATAGAACCCCCGTAATCGTCTGTCCGATTGTTCACATTGTCGTGCAGGAATTGATCCAGGAGATATCCGTTCGCGGCTAGTTGATGCTATTCTCAGTGAACTGATTATCTCATGAAGTGCATGTTTCATTCATACCATGAATCTCAACCCCGTCAAACCCTGCCTCCATAGCTCTTTTGGAGGCTGCGGCATATTCTTGGACAGTCTCTTGGATCTCGTCCACGCTCATTGGTCGCGGAGGCGTCGCACCGTACTCGCTGCCATCCAATGCCTTGCCGCTAATCGGAATGTCACTGGCACTCAGGGCTTGCTTTCCCTCAATGAAAGGTGGCACTGTGGCCCGACCAACATGCCATAATTGGCAATATATGTAGGCGCCTTTCGCATGCACTGCATCGGTGACTTTCTTCCAGCCGACAATTTGTGATGACGTGAAAATGCCGGGGACACCTGGATATCCAGCCGCCTGAGCTGTCAGTTAAAGCCGGGGCTAGATTAGTAGTCATACGTACGAGTCGACTAATCGGAGTTGCCTCTGTCAGCATGAGACCTCCCGGTGAAGCTCGTTGCGCATAGTATTCGACATTAAGATCGTTGGGAACAAATACGCCGTCGGACTCCTTCGTCGATCGCATCCGAGTGCATGGCGCTTGAATTACCCGATGACTTAGGGACACAGCGCCCAAACGGAGAGGCTGGAAAAGAGGCCCAAGAGTATCGACTGAGCCCATTGTGAAGTAGTTGATTGCAACTGGGATGGTTCTTTTCCGCTGGACAGGGACAGCATGTTTATATAACCTATTGACACCCCGCTGTCATGACTGAGAGGTGCAAAGAGTGGGAGAACAGTGGGATAGAAACATCCATCGTTGCAAATGTCGATTAAGGGTACATAAACTGCGACCCACCCCCACCATAAGGCTAGTCTTGCCCCCCACTCTCGCTCAGGCAGCTCTGAAGCACCGTGACGTGCGTCTAGTCTAGTCTCCAATCGTGGCATGTACCTTTTTGTGTCAAAGATATTGACCCTAGGGCCGCTTCGTACGAATTAACAAAACTCGATGCTTTTGACCCGCTGTTTCTGACTAGAATGTCATCGTAACAGCACCTTCGATTTGGCCTATAAGATATTTAGTATCTATAGATTTCCTTTAGGTATTGACCTTTGAACATTTCCATCACTGAAGTCGTACACATACGTAGACCTTGGTACTGTGAGCAAAATATTTCTCCTTGTCCGTAGCTGCTAGACTGTAGGCCTCAATACTAAGACATATGTGTCCCTATTATTCACGACAGAAAGGGTTCAAACAATCACATGTTGTTATTATGTATCCAAAGCTATCTCAATAGTATTTCGTTATAAGCCAGTGAAATGGTCAACTTTAGCCGTAAAAGGGCCCTCCTAAATTCAGTTATTCGGCGATTGTGTACGCCATCGTGATCACAGCAGCCCTCGAGTAACTAGTAATTTGCTACTTCTCTTAATTTGCAAGACATAATCCATGGTCGCAAAGGTCTAACAAGTCTACTTTACATCATGAATGCGAAGTAGTCGTCAATCCACTTCCCAGCCTCGGTGCCCGCTGCCAGTTCCCATGTCTCAATGGTTCCAACGTATCCATCTGGTCGCACAATCACTATGCCAGCCTGCTCTCCCTGCAATGACCCAACCCATTTGTCTGTACAACAGGGTGTATCAACATGGTCCAGATATAAGGTCCAGCGACTATCTTGCAGTACCTTGGGTAAATCTGCAATTTCGAACCCAGACTTCGAAGACTGAGTCACCATCGCATAAGTAAAAGCGCTTGATGCCGCGGTATATCTCTGTGAGTTCATAAATGTGTCTGATGGAGCTGCCTTTTGGGGTTGAATCGCATATGACTGGTTTGCTCGTGAGGAGATCTTTCCGATCCCAGTCGCGTTGTCAAGTCCCTCACATACGATACTGAGAAACCCAAGTGCCTTTGGAACATCTGGAACAAAGAAGTATATTCGGAATTGGCTCAACATAGGAACATCAAGCTGGATGGACACGGGGTTGGCGTCAATGTACCGAAGTACCTTTCCTGGAAGCTGGAGAGTGCCAGGCCGCAGGGGGGTGGATATGGCAGCCCTGCCTCGGCTCAGCAAGCCCTGTGAATATTCCGCACCCATGCCAGAGATAAAGCGAATATTTTCATCAAAGTTCTTGGCAAGGGCAGCCTCGCCTTGCGAGAAAGCTTTGCAATGTTCTGCATCGAAGTTTATAAGATCGTACGCAATCTTTTGTCGTTCATCTTCATAGGTAGATAGAAGGGACGCGTTGGCCAAACCACGAATAACAAGATTAAGCTTCCATGCCAGATTAAAACTGTCATGCATGCTTGTATTCGCTCCTTGGGCTGCTAGAGCAGAATGACAGTGTCCAGCCTGTTGGGTATTAGCATGAAGCAGGCGAAACGCAAAGTGGGTAAAGTATCGTACATCACCGGCAATGAATATCCGAGCCTCTGAGTCCATGAAACGCTTCGCTACGCGTTGCCCCACGACATAATTTCCGAACCATTCAATCGTCTTCCACTCAAGGCGGAAGGGATGCATTGCTTCTCTAGCTCGTTGCATAGCATATTCGGGCGTAGCTTTGGACCTATCAACTCGTTCGCCATCGGTCTCGCTGAGCTGAACGTATAATCGAGTCATGTTGCGTTCGCGAGGGATCCAAAGAATAGACCCCGCCAGAGCGGAACGTACTGCAACTTTACTCCAGAGGTCGGGAAAATCGGTATCGATGACACCTATCTCTTAGCTTTATACTGTACATGCAGACACGGTTGAACTCACCATCCAGTACGCCCCATGAGGCGTTGGTCACCTCACCCTCCAACTGCGCATCTGGGATACACTCCCGTACTTTTGAACGAGCCCCGTCACATCCAACTAGGTAGCCGGCCCGGATTGTTTTGACGGTCTTGCTCGCCAGGTCCTCATATGCAATATCCAGCTGCCCTGTGCCTGCCACACGCGAACAAGAAGCAAACCGACTGTTTCTCATGACAAAGACACCTCTAGCCTCCATATCATCGATTAAAACTTCTTCAACCATACCCTGGTGGGCAAGAAGGATATAAGGATCGGAGGCTCCGACGAGATGATCAGGATAATGCGTTTGGCGTCCTGTTCGGTAGAGTGGTTTATCTGGCATTGATCGCTGGGATCTGTCAGCCGCAATCAAAGAGGTTTCAAATGATACAGGCATACCCAGAAAGAAATATCGTAGACACGGGCGGCATTTTTCAACAAGGGATCGGCGAGTCGCATCTGCTTGAATGTCTCAATCGTCTTGGGTTGCATGCCATCCGCCTTGCCGGTGGAGGTCTTGTCCGGACGATCATCCAGGATCTTAACATCAATACCGAATCGAGCCAGATTGCATCTATGAAACTGTGAGTCGACTAAACATGGTTGTTGGGAGCGAACCTACGCGAGCATCAACCCGGACGGCCCAGCTCCGACCACAACAACCGTGGTTGAAGCATCAACAGGGCCTCGAGAACTATATCCTTCGTTGTCTACACTGGGTGCCATTTTTCTGATTGTTTCGTTTTCAGCGAAATAAGGGCGACTCAAGTTCTCTGCATGGATATAGACCCTGTATATTATAACTTAGATATTGGAGATTTTAAATGCGGAGTAGGCCAAACCCCCACTCTTGCCCTATCTCCGCTACCATCGGGTGACTCCCCCATCCACAATGACATCTTGCCCCGTCATGTACGCACTGGCGTCGCTAGCTAGGAAAACACATGCTCCCATAATATCCTCGGGCTCAGCGATACGTCCATTCATGGCTTCCAACTCCCAACCTTGAACAAGATGGGGGAACTGTCAATGAAGTCAGTGTGGAACACCACAGCAGTTGAGCTTCTGGCAAACCTACAGCCGCAGTCATCTCCGTTCGCACATATCCAGGAGAAATGGAGTTCACACGGATACCCTGCTATGGTCAGTCGGAGCTTAGAAGGCACGGTCCACAACTCACGTATTCTGCCAGCTCTTTTGCAATGGCAGGGCACATAGATCGAACTGCTCCTTTGGTTCCGCAGTACGCGCTGCACAGTTGGCTTCGCACAGCAATGTGACTAGCCATACTAGCTACAAGCACGACGCTCCCATGCTTTGTTCCGTTTGCGATCATCTGTTTTGCTGCCAACTGAGCTGTAAAATATAGCCCAAGTACATTAATCGAGACAAGATCGTGGTGGTCTTTGTAGGTAAATTCCAGGAAGGGAAGATGACGGTTGATCCCAGCGCATGGGACACAAATATCGAGGGCATTATTAAAGTCCTTCTGAAACTGCGTGAAACCATTTTCAAGCGATTCCTGCGACGAAACATCGACTCTATTTCGGTCAGTCACTCACCAATTGTGATATGGGGAATCG